CGCGAAGAGGGAGGAGGGAGGGAAACCGCACGATCACTGAAGTAGGAAGGCACCCAAAGCAGATTGGGGCTTGCGCATCCAGAAATACCCACTCCGAGTTTCTTCATAAGCGTCGGGGGGGGCGTCACCCCCGCCGACAGCCCCACGTCGACCCCCCGTCGCTGGCAGCCACCGCGCGCCGAAGGCGCTCCGACCCCCGTCGCGGCGCGACGATGAGGCGAGGTTGACCCCCTATCGGGGGGGGTAGCCCCCACGCTCATCAAGAAGCACAAAGTACTTTCAACAACCGACGGGTACGCGCAGCCGAGTTTCGTGGCCACCAGTTCTCAGAGCGTGCTGCTCGCGCCTTCGCTTCGGCGGCAGGAGAGACCAAAATCGAATCGATGAGTCAAATCGGCGATCGACATAAATCGAGTCGGCGGAAGCATCGGCAGTCAAGCCGGGAGGAGCCGAATCGGCAGGAAGTCGGCTGAGCAGTTGGGCCTCACTGAGAAATCGGCATCCACATCGGAATCCGAAGCCGAATGGAATCGGAACCGGAATCGAATCGGAGGAGTCGAGATCGAATCGAAATCGAAGTCGAAATCGAATCGAAATCGAACCGAAGCGACATCGAAGCGACATCGAACCGGAGGAATCGAAGCGAGCCCTGCCCGGCGGGGGCGGGGCCGGGCCTCCGAGGAGGCCCGCGGGCTCCCCCCCCTCCCCTCGGGAGATCTCCGCGGGGGGGGGGGGGGGGGGCGCTGCCGCGCCCGAGCGCAAGGCTCTCTCTCTCTCTCGCTCTCTCTCTCTCTCTCGGCGCCGGGGCTCTGTGCGCTGCTCCCCTCGCGCTCAAAGACTGCACTTAGGTCGGGCCTGTCCCCCATACAGGGGGATTTTGGGCGAACAAACCACAACAAAAAAAAAAAACATGCTCCCAAAATGCTAAAACATGGTTAAAAAGTCCTCACCCGACTATTTTGCAACTATGTTTGAATACTCATCCTGTAGAGGGAGAGGCCCGACTGAAGAAGACACCCCAAGAATGTACAGCGGAGGCCAGTCCACGAGAGACCTCCCACGAGAAGCCCAAGCCGGAGACCCCAGGGGGCGTCCACGGATGTTGTCGGTGCGGGAGCGTCGCGCTGCGCTCTCCCTGGATGTTCGGGGCGGGAGCGTCGGGCTCTCGCGGCTCCTGGGCCCGTGCTGCTCCCATCGTGCTCGACGACAATGTGTTGTAACAATGTTTGGCTACGTTTGGCTATTTAAGCTATGTTTGCTATGTTTGGCTATGTTATACTATGTGTGTGACTATGGTTTAGCATTCCGCCTGCAAGCACGCCCGACTTCAGGCCAGGCCTGCGAGAAGGAAGGCCCACGGCCCCCCCTCGGGAAATCCGCGGGGGGGGGGGGGGAGGGGCGGCGCGCTGCCGCGCCCGAGCGCCAGCCTCTCTGTCTCGGCTCCTGGGCCTGTGCCGCTCCCCTCGCGCTCAAAGACTGCACCCCAAGCCTAAAAAAACAAAACACACGACGTCGGGAGAGGAGGAGGAGGAGGAGGAGGAGGAGGAGGAGGAGGAGGAGGAGGAGGGACAGCAAGCGAACTTGGTTCACGCCTCGTGGAATGCGCGTTCGGGAAAGCCCTCGTGAGGGGCAGCGGTGTTGGTCTATTCTCCCTTGGTGCGCCTCCCTCCTGTCTGCTCTTCTGGACCGCACCGTCCTTCCGAGGAGGCGAAGCAAGGACGACGACGATTCCCCCCCCTCCTCCCCTGGCCTCGCGCCCTCCCGTCGACGTGCCCTTCACTTTCTCCTCGGCCCCCCTTCCCCTTGCGTGCGGCCGTACGGTGGAGGCCGCTCCACAAGAAACCTTCCACACGAGACCCAACCCTGAGACCGTCCACGGATGTTTGGTGTGGGAGCGTCGCACGCTCTCCACGGCAAGACCATCGAGACCAAAGAAACCCAGAGCACCCTGGAGGCAAACAGGGTGCTGCTTGGCATGGGCCCCCCCTGTAAAGTTCCGAGCGCCCACAACGCTGGCGAGACGCCGGCAGAGTGCCGAGCGAGCATCGCCCCCCGGGGCCCGACGCGCGAAGACTTTCCCGGGGGGGGGGGTCGCCTTTCGGGGCCCTCCCGGTTCGGCACGTTCGTGGTGCTCGCAACGATGTCTGGTGATCAAGGCGAGATGAAATAGGAGGGAACAAACAAGAACATAAACATAAAAACTCGGAGGTCCGTGCGGATTTCTCGGATCCGCGCTGGGGCCCCCCGGCGGCGCCAGAGGCGCCGCCCCTGGCGCGCTCCGCGCGCCAGGGAGGGGGGTCCAGCGCGGATCCAAGAGATCCGCGCGGACCTCCGAGTTTTCATGTTTCTGTCATTGTTCTTCCCGTGTACACGAAGCTGGAATCTCGTAATCCTGGGTGCTGCGGGGCACGTGGCGAACAGCGATGCCTCCGCTCAGTCGGGGCCACGGTCCCGCGCACAAGCCGTGGACTCGCGCCGTCGAGGCCGCGGCGCCTCGCAGCGAGGCCACGGGCCCCCGCCCGGGGGGCCACGATCCCTTTGCCCAAGAAACCGAAGTGCCCCGCACCCTGGAGGCCACAACCCTGTACAGATACCATGGACCTGCACCTTCGAGCCACGACGTGTCTGTTCTTGATTAAAAACCGAATAATACAAATGGTAGTAGTAAGAAGAAGAATAATAGCCATCATCATCATCATCATCATCATCATCATCATCATCATCATCATCATCATCATCATCATCATCATCATCATCATCATCATCATCATCATCATCAACAGCATCATCAGCATCATCTGCATCAACATCATCAGCATCATCATTGTCATCATAACCATCATCATCAGCAGCATCACCATCATCATCATCATCATCATCATCATCATCATCATCATCATCATCATCATCTTCTGCATCTTCATCTTCATCAGCATCATCATACGGTTCATACTGATACGATGTTTAATGATACTAGCCATAAGAATAGCAATAAGAATAGCGCATAATAACCAAAAAACAAACCAGAAACAAAAAAAAAAAAAACGGGCCCGCGCCGTCGAGGCCACGACCGTTTGTGCAAAAACACAACATGGCCCGCGCCTTCGAAGCCACGGCCCCCGCTCTTTCTTTCTCTCTGGCTCCGCACCTTCCGCCGACGGCGCTTGCACCTGGCAGCTCTTACCTCTGTTCTGAGGTGACTGGGCCCGGTGACGGTCCGGTCGGCTCGTCGCCGCCCGTCGCCGCCCGTCGCCGCGGCCGCCGCTGGCACCGGGGCGGTCTGGCCGGCTCGTCGCCGCGAGCCGCCGACCGTCGCCAAGTGCTGCGCACTGCTGTGCGCTGCGCTGCGCCACATGGATTGCACCACCTGGACTGCGCCACCCGGACTGCACCATATTCCTTGCACCATCTAGCCTGCACCACACAGGTTGGGGTCCAATCCTCTTCGTCTTAGGATTCATCCGCATTGCTTTTCTTATTACAACTGTTATTCGTCTTAACATTATCCTTGCTGTTGTGATGTTTACTCGTCTTCTTCTGAATAGTACCCGTATGATCATTAATCGTTTTGCTCCTCTTCTTACTGTTAGTTTAATAATTAATATTACACCGCGGGAGGCAGAGCGGGAGAAAGGGGAGAAGCCAAGGAGCAAACGACACAAACAAACCAGCGCATGGTGGAGTACACTACCATGGCTATTCGGTCTAAAATGGAACGCGCCCAATAAGCGTGGATGATGAGGGAAGGAAAGCGGTGAAAAGGGAACAGAAGAAGAGGAGGACGAGGAGAACATGAATGGAACATTGTCAACCACCTCCTGCTGAAAGGGGAATGGCTGAAACGCGATGAATTGATCCTGCTCCTCCTCACCCTTCTCGTGCGATCGTCCTGCTAATCCCTCCTCCTCCTCTTCCTCCTCCTCCACCACTTCCTCCTCCTCCTCTGTCCTCCTCCTTCTCCTCCTCCTGGGAACTCATGGCAAGAGAACATCCGTCAGAGGCTGCCCTCCTCCTCCTCCTCCCCCTTCTCCTCCTCATCATCATCATCCTCCTCGTCATCCTCCACCCCTGGAGACCACACAATATCAAAAATTGCCGCAGGGTGCCCCAGGATGCCCCAGGGAAGCCACGGACGCCCGATTGCCCAGTCGCGTCTCGGGAGGCCCGGGAAGCCCCAGGGCCTGAAGGCGAGGTGCCCACTCCGCCCCGTTATTTCACGCTGATCCGCGATCCGATTATAATTACGCTACCGAGGAACCCCACATACTTAATTTAAATCTTGTGTGTTTGCTTATGTATAATATATATATATATATATATATATATATGCACAATCCTGCGTTCTGGACCCTCGTCGCGAATGTTCCCTGCTAGGCTTTGCGCCAGTGTCGTGGATAGCAGCCGAGCTGAGAGACCACCCCCTGCGCACCCCCTGTGGTGTCGAGAAAGTGCCACGCCTGCTAGCCTTTGCGCCAGTGTCGTGGATAGCGGCCGAGCTGAGAGACCACCCCCTGCGCACCCCCTGTGGTGTCGAGAAAGTGCCACGCCTGCTAGCCTTTGCGCCAGTGTCGTGGATAGCGGCCGAGCTGAGAGACCACCCCCTGCGCACCCCCTGTGGTGTCGAGAAAGTGCCACGCCTGCAAAGCTTTGCGCCAGTGTCGTGGATAGCGGCCGAGCTGAGAGACCACCCCCTGCCCACCCCCTTTGGTGTCGAGAAAGTGCCACGCCTGCTAGGCTTTGCGCCAGTGTCGTGGATGGCGGCCGAGCTGAGAGACCACCCCCTGCGCACCCCCTGTGGTGTCGAGAAAGTGCTACGCCTACTAGGCTTTGCGACAGTGTCGTGGATAGCGGCCGAGCTGAGAGACCACCCCCTGCGCACCCCCTGTGGTGTCGAGGAAGTGCCACGCCTGCTAGGCTTTGCGCCAGTGTCGTGGATAGCGGCCGAGCTGAGAGACCACCCCCTGCGGCTGAGCTGAGCCGGCTTGAGCCAATGTGTTACATATCAGGATGCTCGAGGGTCAAAGACATGTGTCCCATATGTCGATCTGTGGAGCTCCCCACCCCATGCGCCGCCCTCTGGCGTCGAGGAACTGTTACGCCTGACACGCCCTGGAAGCCTGAAAGAGAGAGCGCCCCCAACTCCTGCCACACCCCTGCGAGCGGATCACGGATAGAGGCCGCACTGAGGGACCACCCTCTGCGCCCCCCCAGCGGCGTCGAGAAAGTGCCGCGCCTGCCACGCTCTGCGAGCGTGTCACGGATAGAGGCCACACTGAGGGACCACCCTCTGCGCACCCCCATGTGATGTCGAGAATGTGCCGCGCCTGCCACGCCCTGCGAGCGTGTCACGGATAGAAGCCCCGCTGAGGGACCACCCTTTGCGCCCCCCCAGTGGTGTCGAGAAAGTGCCGCGCCTGCCACGCCCTGCGAGCGTGTCACGGATAGAGGCCCCGCTGAGGGACCACCCTCTGCACACCCCTTCTGGTGTCGAGAAAGTGCCGCTCCTGCCACGCCCTGCGAGCGTGTCACGGATAGAGGCCCCGCTGAGGGACCACCCTCTGCGCACCCCCTCTGGTGTCGAGAAAGTGCCGCTCCTACCACGATCTGCGAGCGCGTCACGGATAGAGGCTGCGCTGAGGGACCACCCTCTGCGCACTCTCTGTGGTGTGGTGGTGTGTGGTGTGGCGTGGTGTGGTGTGGTGCGATGTGGCGTGGTGTGGTGTGGTGTGTGTACGAGCGAGAAGGAGGAGGTGAGGTGGGAACGCAGGTGTGACTGACGCGGGTGTAGAGAAGGGGAGGTGAGTGAACGCGGGTGCGACGCGGGTGTAGAGAAAATCAGAACCCCACTTAGAATGTGGGGAATAAGAGGCACTTCTCTCTCTCTCTCTCTCTCTTTCCCTCAGATTCTGGCGCTGCTACTTGTTCGAGCCAGGAGTTTTCGCCCAGTTGCGTGCCCTGGGATCCTCACAGATCGATCCGGCTTGAAAAATAGTGTCCTGGGCTCTGATCGTGAGTTTTGGCGATGCTGCCATTTTTTCGCAACGTCGGATCTCAGGGTTGCGCATGGGGGTGGCCAAGTGCCAGGCGCATGCCTCTGGACACGGCTCACGAGAACGACAAGGCAAACTAATGATGCGGAATCCTGGTCGGACTCGAACGCTCCTGACCAAGAGGAACGCTGAAGGCGAGGGCGGACGAGAACGGTCGATGAAGGTGAGGACGAGTGAGAGCGGTGTTGACAGGGAGAGCGATGTTGAGAGCGATGTACTTCGAGGGAGGGAAATGGATGGCCATGGCCAAGACTGAGCGCGGAAACGTCGGCGTCGATCTTGACGAGAACGGTCGATGAAGGTGAGGACGAGTGAGAGCGGTGTTGGCAGGGAGAGCGATGTTGAGAGCCATGTACTTCGAGGGAGGGAAAACGATGGCCATGGCAAAGACTGAGCGAGGAAACGTATATTGGCCCTCGTCCATCTCGTCCATCTCCTCCTCCTCATCCTCCTCCTCCTCGATCGTCCATCTAGGTCGTCGTCGAGTCGTGGATCACCCTCGCGGATCGGCGACGGCCGGCACGGACCCTGACCAGGGTCGGCGCCGACACGCTGGTCATCGTGCTTCTCCCCAGGAGGCGGAGTAGGAGGAGGAGGAGGAGGAGAAGAAGGAGAAGGAGGAGGAGGAGGGGGAGGAGGAGGAGAACAAGGGGGAAAGAGGAGGAGGAGGAGACGGAGGAGGAGGAGGGAGGCGGGAGGAGGAGGAGGAGGAGGACGGAGGGGAACGGATGAGGAAGCGCAGGCAGGCTCAGAAAGACAGGGATCCCGCCTCGGATGTGGGGAGAGAGGGGAAGGCTGCGGATGCGCGCCTCAGAGGCCATATCGTTGGATTTTCGTCTTCCCCCCCACTTCCCATATTTTCGCATACTTTCCTGGGAATCGACGATCAATTGTGTCTGCATGTTTTTCCCCAGTCAGTGCTTGCACTGAAGGGGTCTTAGCAGAAGTTGAAAGATTTGGCGAAAAATTCCCGCCGATTTTGGTAGCAAGCTGGGTTCCCAGGTTCCCGGTTCCGGGTTCCCGGGTTCCCAGTTAGTGGTTCCGGGCCGATCTCGGTGGGTTCTGGGTTCCCGGGCTCACGGGTTCCCGGTCGATCTCCTCAGCGAAAACCATGCACTAATTGGGGTTTTCTCTGGTGAAATTGTTCCTTCCTGAATGTGGGAGGGCGACGGCCTTCGGATAGCACCACAGGATCCCGAGGTCGCAGGCGGTCTGCAGGGCGTTCGGCTCCAGGCCCCCCGGGAGCGGCAGCGCCCGGGTGGGGCCCGGGTCGAAGAAGCGGTCGTACGTCCACGAGTTGAACACCTAGAGTTAGGCCAGGCATGTCCCCCGCCCTACAGGCGGACTCTGGACGAAAAATAAAAAACAGACAAACAATACTCCAACATTGTCAAAAATAAATCGTCCCCAGACTATTGTTTTACTGCTTTTGAATATTCCTCCTGTAGAGGGACACGCCCGACTTAAACCTAGAGGCCTCCTAGATGGGGCCCGAGCAGATGAGTTCGGAGGATCGCGCCGCACCGCCGATGCGTCACCGATGCATTTAGGTCGGGCATGTACTCCTACAGGGGGCTTTTGGACGAAACAACAAAAATAGTCAAAAAAAAAAAAAAAAAAAAAAAAAAAAAAAAAAAAAAAAAAAAAAAAAAAAAAAAAAAAAAAAAATCAGAAAATCGTCCCCTGACTATTTTGTAACTAGGTTGAAATATTCGGGGACAGGCCCGACTTAATGACATCAGCGACGCATCGGCGATGCATCGGCGCCGTCGGCGTGAAGAAGATCGGGCTCCACATCGAGCAGCAGCGCCGATGCATCGGCGATGAGGGGCGAGCCCCCAACCCATTCGTTCGGACCCCAGCTGGGAGGCCCAGAGCACCAGCATCAGGCCGGAGAGCACGGTGACCACCGACTGCCAGAACCTGCTCTCGGGGGAGGAGGAGGCACCGACACCGCTGCCCCTCCCTCGTTGCCCCCCTCTGGTGCCTCCGGGGAGGCCCTCGTCGCCACGGCCGGCTCCGCCTCGAGCTCGTGGTCGGCACGCAGCCCAGGGAGGAATTCCAGGGAGCAGCGGGATGTCGGCACCGCTCCATCTCGGGCTTCGGGCTGCGCGCCGACCGCCCCCCCCTCGGGCAGCCTCCACTGGCCACCACGGGCCCCCCGAGGAGTCCCGGGCGGCCTCGGCACCCTGGCGCCGCCTCGGGCGGCGCTCCCCCGGGGAGGCGCCGCGCCCCGGGGGCGGGGAGGTGCTGCGAGCGCCCCGAGCTGCTCGGGGGGCCTTAAGGGCCCGCGAAGGCCTGCGGAGGGCCTGCCCGAGGGCGCTGGCCTGCGCGCAGCCCGAGGCCTGCCCACGCCACGGGCGGCGGGCGCGGCCAGCTCCACACCCGCGCGGACGGGGTGCCGGGGCGTGCCCCCGCGGAGGCGCGGTCGCACCGGGGAGGCTCCGCGCGGTGCGTCCGCGGGACGAGCGCGCCCCTTGCCCACGGGGCCGCAGCCCGGGGGCCCAGCCCGCGAGGCAGGGGAGACGGACATGTTGCCTGAGAGCCGGCGCTGCGAAAAGTGAAGCATCGCAACAGAAAGCACAACCGGAGCCTGAGGCCCAATCTTGCTGCTGCATTTGTCGAGCGGGATCGATCTGTGATGGTGCGAGGACCAGAAACCAGGCGAAAGCGCCCAGTGCGAAAAAAGTGCGACGCCTGGATCTCGAGGCTTCCCGCCCACGACCTCTGCCACTCTGGCTCTGGCGTGAGCAAGGGCGAGAAGGCCATGGCCGCCTGCATGAGGAAGGCGGCGGCCAGGGCGCCGATGTCGTAGGTGCAGTCCTTCAGCACCAGCGGGTGGCTCCGGGGCAGCTGGTTGGACATCGTCATGGAGTCCCTCGTCCAGTCCAAGATTTGATAAGACCGCCGCAAGACGATCCCGTCAAGGTTATACCGGGAGCGGACGAAGCGGACAGAGATGTAGGTGTGCACCGCAGCGCTCAGCAAGCCTTTCTGCCACCCTCCCGAACAAAAACTTGGATGTAGTCATGGGGTCATGTGGTATTCTTCGGATCGCTGCGGGGTCGCATTGAGGCCACGTGGTCCGTGGCCGGCCGGCCCCCCTCCCAATGTTGGCGGGGGTGGCAACCAAGCGCAACTCCTCCGGCCAAAGCTGGTTGGGGGCTGGGGTCGGGGTGGGCAGGACTGAAGCTTCCAATCGAGTCCTGTTTCGGGAGAGCTGTAGAGGAAAAGCAACGGCATATAAACATAATCTCTGCGGGGATCTGCACGGGTCTCTTGGTTCGGCGCTGCGCCCCCCCTTTCTGGCGCGCGGAGCGCGCCAGGGGCGGCGCCTGGGGCACCGCCAGGGGAGCCCAGCGCCGATCCAACAAATCCTTTGTTCGCGATCAGCTCCGAAAGTTTCTAGTTTTGAGAAGAGCTCCGAAAGTGTACGATTACGTCGTTTCTTCTTCATACGGTCGAGGGAAACAATTAGTGAACACCCCCCCTGCCCCCCAAACTCAAGGTTGGCACGCGCGGGGGAGACTGTGGTCGAGGTGCAACTCATCAGACCCACCGCCAACTTTGAACATTGGGGGGAAGGGGAGGCGTTGACGGATGAATGTGGCATGTGTTCGCTAATTTGTTTCGAGGCCTGTCTCATTATTGATCACATGATTCTTCATATCATCATTATCATTACTAATACGATCACTAATACTATTATTAGTAGTGGTAGTAGTATTCTTCTTATTTGGTATGTTTGTTCTTCTTATTCTTGTTATTAGTAGTAGTAGTAGTAGTAGTAATAGTAGTAGTAGTAGTAGTAGTAGTAGTAGTAGTAGTAGTAGTAGTAGTAGCAGTAGCAGCAGTAGTAGCAGTAGTAGTAGTAGTAGTAGTAGTAGTAGTAGTAGTAGTAGTAGTAGTAGTATTAGTAGTAGTAGTAGTAGTAGTAGTAGTAGTAGTAGTAGTAGTAGTAGTAGTAGTAGTAGTAGTAGTAGTCTTTTTATTATTCGAAGCCTGGGACAAGCCACAGCGCGAAGTGCTCGAAGCCGCGGCACTGCACCTTCGGATCGGCCTGGAGGATGCCCTGGTCGCAGGGAATCAGGTCCAGCAGCGGCACCATGAGCGGGAGGAACCCCGCGCCGCAGCCGACCTTGCCGGCGCGCACAAGGGGGTGGGGGGAGGGGGGAGAGCTTCTCAGAAGGAGGCTGCTTCTTGGAAGGCGCCTGCCTTACATCTATAGGTAAGGCCCGCGCCTTCTAAGAAGCAGGGGTGCTTCTCAGAAACCCTCCCCCTCCTCCCACCCCACTCTGCGCGTGGCTGACGACCATCAGAAGCAGGCCCATCAGGACGTACACCAGGCTGGGTCCGATCTTGTCGGGGAAGAGCAGCGCCTTGCTTTATATTGCTCCCATCGTACTGAAAGACCACATCCCAGAAATAATTTCGAGCACCCGGAAAAAGTGTCGAAAGAGTGTCGAAGCAGCGTCGAAACAGTGTCGGACGAGTGTCTCCCAGGGCCCGACACGTGAAGACCCTCGAGTTTCGGTATTGCTTTGGTGCTCGACATTCTTTTGGGTGATCAAGGCTACAGTAGGTTGGAAGATCATAAGCCTTGTTCTGGAAGTGCTCCTGGCCAACAAACATGCAAGCGAGGCTCGCGATGACGGCGACGGAGCCCCGGAACTGGTACTTGGCCTTCTCGATGAACTCGAACTCCCGGAGGTAGTCCAGGTAGCCCCTCGGCTTCTGCAGAGAGGGCGGGCAGGCCGCATCCAGGCCGAACGACAACAGCTGGCAGAATCTCAGGACAAACAGAAATCCGCCACCGTGCCTCTGCCACGTATCAGGGCGTCGACAAGGCCTGGGCCTTCGAAAAGGTCAAAGAGTGCCAAAAACGCCTCTCGAATGCCCAGTGCTGCTGGGTGCTCCTGTGCGAAACTTCCCCGCGTGGCCTTCCCATGACACAAGAGCACTTTGAATTCGGCCTCCCATCCTTGCCCCAGGAGCCAGTGTTTGGGCTCCCCTGGGGTCTCGTGGGCTGTCTTGGGCGGTCTGCGGGCCCATTCCAGAAGCCAACATGCTAAAGCAGACGCCCATCCCTCAGGCATCGAGTGCTATCTCATGCCGCTACGATGATCGTGCACCTTGCTAGAGAACTGAGGCGACCTCGTCTAGACGTTGGCCCACAGGCTTTCTCGTTCTGCTTGCAATGCACTCAGTCTCGTGTAGCAGGCTCCGCGGTGAGCCAAGATCTCCCCCCCGATGTGGCCGGCGGCTAGCGAGCACTGGTCGGAACATCAGATGTTGCTACGCTGGAAGGCCTTCGTAAGAAGGGTCGAGGGCTCTTAAGACAGATGAAGGTGCTACTATTAGGTCGGGCATGTCCTCCTACAGGGGGATGTTGGACGAAACATCAAAAATAGTCCAAAATAACCCGACAGAAATATTCAACAAATAGTCCCCACATTATGTTTTACCTATTTTTGACTATTTTTGAATATTCCTCCTGTAAACGGACAGGCCCGACTTACTGCTACTTAACAGAATTTGGCCAGCTGAGCCTGGGACCAAGCCATGGATAAAGCTGGTAAGCGGGACTCAGAGGAGATCATCGGGATCATGCTGCACTCGGCATGTTTCCGGCCACGGATATACCAGCGCCAGTGCTGAGCTCTCAACTTCCCAGGAGCTGCAACATAAGATGCATGTTCCCCGTTCGCCTCAAGAACGTTCAGGCGGCTCACGAGGCGGCCTCGAGATGGCCCCAACACGGCACCCGAGGCCCGCAAGCAGCCCCATGAGGGATAACGAAGGTCCCTAAGGGGTCGGACCACGAACAGACCTGTAGGAGCGTGGTTGGAAATCCACCGCCTCCTCACCTCCAAGACGACCCCAAGACCCGCGACTGGCGCCACGATTCTACATGGCGAGGGCTTCCTGCGAACACACACCAAGCAGAAGTCAGCCCAGGCCCAGGTCAAGAAAAACCCAAGATAACATAGACAGTTGCTGCGCGCGTGAAAAAACACTGAGATAATTGAGCGCAGGAGCTGGGAGACGCCGGGATAACTGTTTCGCCTGTAGAAACACCGGAAAAACTTCTGGGCTGAATCAAACTTGCAACATTCTGAAGACCCGAACCCGCCTGGACATATTAACCCGCCACTGGGCGAAGCCGCAAAGACCGTTCTTCCTAGGAGGGGGCCGACGCTGCTTTGGCCTGCCCGCTGCCCTGTGAAATTTTACGGGGGCCATCGTCACGTCGCAGCGCGGGCCCCCCAGAGGCCCCGCAAGGGGCCCCCGAGAGGCCCACAAGCACCCCTAATCAGGCCTACATCCCAGGGACACGGCAACATTGTGAAGTATCCTCCTGCCCGACTGCGCCCTCGACGCATAGCCCAGCAATGGTGGCGGGACTGGCCGGAGGCCGCTGGATCCGCCGCCCCCTGCTTGCAGGGGTGCACGGCGTGCTGGACGAGCTGTCAGGTTTTGGTTTTGGTTCTTTTTCCAAAAGAACTCCCCAGTGGGCTCCGGCCCGTCCCGCCGGGGTCCCGGGAGGAAGCCGAAAACACCTCAATCCGGAAAAAAATCCTCCAAAAACGGCCGTTTCGCTCGGGACATCCTCAAAAAATCGCGAAGATGGCCCAAGATGGCCTCCAAGTCCGCCCGAGATGGTCCAAGACGGCCTCCAAAACGGCCCAAGAGAGTCCAAGACGGCCCAAGACGGCCCAAGAGGCCCCCCAGAGGCCTCCCAGACGGCCCAAGAGGCCTCCAAGAGGTCCTCCAGGAGAGTCCGAAGAGGCCAAAATCATTGATTTTCCCTTGGTTTTTGAAGGATTTTGGCATTTGCGCCTTTTCGGCTCTCCGACGGCTCAAGACGGCCCAAGAAGCCCCCAAGATCGCCCAAGAGGCCCCCAAGAGAGCCCCCTGATGGCCCAAGTGGCCTCCAAGATGGCCCCTAGAGGGCCCCAAGACGGCCCAAGAGGCCTCCAACACGCCCAAGATGGCCTCCAAGACGCCCAAGATGGCCTCCAAGACGGCCCTGGAGCGCCCCAAGAGGGTCCCCCGTTGGCCCAGAAAGGCCCCCAAAACGGCTCCCGACGGCGTCAGACGTGCCAGGAACCCACCAAGATGGCCGAAGTTGGCTCGAAGCTGGCCCAAAAGGGCCCAAGAGGCCCCCAAGAGGGCCTCCAGGAAGGCCAAAAGATGCCAAAATCACTGATTTTCCCAAGGTTTTTGCTGGATTTGGGCATTTCCCTTTTTTCGGCCTTCCGACGGCCCGAGACGGCCCAAGAGCCCCCAAAGATCGCCGAAAGATCGCCCAAGAGGCCTCCAAGACGGCGACGATGACCATCAAGACGCCCACGTGTTCCCCGAAGGCTTTCCAAACCGAGTCGGGGAACACATGGTCCGATGGCTTGGCAGGTGTGGCCTCAACGTTCGGCCACATAGGCGCTTCCACAAAGGCAGGGGGCGGCGGTGATTCGCCGTAGGCGTCTTCGATCCGCCGCCCCCTGTTGGCTTGCCACAGGGGTGCCCGGCGTGCTGAGCCCTTTCGCTTTTGGTCTTGGCTCTTTTTCCAAGAGAACTCCCCCTGGGGCTTCGGCCGATCCCGCCGGCCACCCGGAGGGGCGCGCAGAGATGCACAACAGGTGGTTGCAAAGGGTTTTTCGGCTCCAGACGGCCCCAAGATGGCCTCCAAGTTCGCACAAGATGGTCCAAGATGGCCTCGAAGACGGCCCAAGAGAGTCCAGGATGCCTCCAAGTTCGCACAAGAAACACCTAAGACTGCCCAAGACGGCCCCAGGGGCCTCCAAGACGGCCCCAGAGGCCTCAAAGAGGTCCTCCAGGGTCCTCAAGGACGGCCCGAAGAGGTCCAAATCATAGATTGTCAATCGGTTTTTGAAAGAGTTTGGCTTTTGCTCCTTTTCGGCCAAGCGGCCATCAAGATCGCCCCAAGAGTGCCCAAGAAGCCTCCAAGACGGCTCCAGGACGGCCCAAGAGGCCCCCAAGACGGCCCCAAGAAAGCCCCAAGACGGCCCAAGAGGTCCCCAAAAAGCCCCAGATGGCCTCGAAGACTGGAAAGATGGCCTCCAAGATGCCTCCAAGACGCCGAAGATGGCCTCCAGACGGCCAAGATGGCCCCAAGATGCACCCAAGAAACCCCTAAATGACCTCAAGATGGCCTAAGACTGCCCAAAAGGCCCGCAAGAGGCCTCCAAGACGGCCCAAGACGTCCGCCAGGAAGGCCCGACAGGGTAAAAATCATTGATTTTCCGAAGTTTTCCTTATCAGCTCTCCGACGGCCCAAGACGGCCCAAGAGGCCCCCAACATCGCCCCAAGAGCGCCCAAGAGGCCTCCAAGATGGCCCCATGACAGCCCAAGAGGCCCCCAAGAGGGCCCCAAGAAGAGCCCAAGACGGCCCAAGATGGCCCCGAAGACGCCGAAGATGGCCTCCAAGACGGCCAAGATGGCCCCCAATATGCCTCCAAGACGGCCAAGAAGGCCGTCCAGACGGCTAAGATGGCCCGAAGATGCACCCAAGACGGCCTAAGATGGCCTCAAGATGGCCTAAGACGGCCCTATAGGCCCACAAGAGGCCTCCAAGACGGCCTGAGAGGCCTCAAAGACGTCCTCCAGGAAGGCCCGAAAGGGCCAAAATCAGTGATGTTCCGCAGGTTTTTGAAGCATTTTAGCATTGTCTCCTTATCAGCTCTCCGAAGGCCCAAGACGGCCCAAGAGGCCCCCAACATCGCCCCAAGAGCGCCAAGAGGCGTCCAAGATGGCCCCATGACAGCCCAAGAGGCCAGAGGGCCCCAAGAAGAGCCCAAGACGGCCCAAGATGGCCCCGAAGACGCCGAAGATGGCCTCCAAGACGGCCAAGATGGCCTCGAAGATGCCTCCAAGACCGCCAAGAAGGCCTCCAAGACAGCGAAGATGGCCCCAAGATGCACTCAAGACGGCCCAAGATGGACTGAAGATGGCCCAAGACGGCCCTGTAGGCCCGCAAGAGGCCTCCAAGACGGCCCAAGAGCCCTCCAAAACGTCCTCCAGGAAGGCCCGAAAGGGTCGGAAAACACCTGGTCCGATAGCTGGCCCGACTCGGTGTTCCCCGAAAGCTTTCGAAACCAACTCGGGGAACGCGTGGCCCGATAGCTTGGCCAAGCTCAAACCCAACTTTCGAGCACGCAGGCGCTTCCAAAAAGGCAGGGAGCGGCGGTGATTCGCCGTAGGCGTCTTCGATTCACCACCCCCGCAGCCTGCTGGAGGGGCGCTAGGTATAACAGGAAGCACATCAAACGAGAAATCGGTCTGCCAGAAAATGCACTACGGAAGTCCCACCAGCTCTCTGGGCCTAGTAACGATTGTTGTCTCTTTCTGGCAAAACCCTTCCTTCCCCTGCTCGGGCGATCCCCTTCCCTCAGGCGACCGGCAGCCAACCAGGAGGGCCTGGAGGGGGGGGACCGAGCGGTCAGAGAGCCCAAGATGGCCCAAGATGGCTCAAAGAGAGCCTCAGAGACCCCAAGATGGCCTCCAAGATAGTTCAAGATAGCTCACGATGGCTCAAGATGGCCTCCGACACACCTCGAAGAGGCCCCAAGAAAGCCCCAAGACGGTTCCAAGGGATCTCCGAGCCCTCCAAGGACCCCCCCAGGAGGCCAAAATCCTTCATAAGCCTCGGGAAAAACAATGTGTCTCGCCTTTTCGCTTCCGATGGGCTTTTTAAACCTCAAGATGGCGCCAAGATGGCCCAAGAGAGCCCCAAGAGGAGCCCAAGAGGGCCCCAGAAGCGCCCCAAGAGGGCCCCAAAACGCCCGTGTTAGGCCTCCGAGTGGGGGTGGGGTGGGGGGGGGGGGGGCAAATTAATCACCCACCCCCCAGACCCACCCAAGGAGCCCCAAGACGCCCCAAAAGGCCTACAAAAGGGCCTCAATAGGCAATACCCATCGACAAACCTGAAGAAAATCCATGTTGCTTGCTTTCTCGCCTTTTCGCTTCCGAAGGCCTTCTGAGGCCTCAAGATGGCTCGGATTGCAGGGAATTGTGGGTCTTTGCAGGGTCATTGCAGGGACTTTACAGGGTCGTTGCACGGCTTCATCGTCGTCTCCTTCTCCCTCCCCCATCCATCTACTGGTTGATCCTTTCTTCCTCCTCCCGTTCTCATTTCCTCCTTCCTCCTCACGGTGCCAAAGATAGCCTCCCCGCCCCGAGAAGGTTTCGAAATAACTATAAGGGGGACCCCAGAAGACCCCAGTGAAGCCGCCGCGTCATGGGAACATTCGTTACATAATTCAACAACTGTTCCCGCTGTTTCAGCGCCCCCGAAACACTTTCAATGTGGTTGTTCAGCTGCATGTTTCTACACTTCCCTGATCAAGGCAACTCGCCTGGCGAAATGCTTCTGGATGGGCTGGTGGGAATCCGCGGAGCGTCGAGAATTTCTTATCCCCCGAAGGCCCCAAGCCACTGAAGCTCCGGGGCACCCCAGGACCCTCAAACGTCGACGAAAAATTAGCCCCAAGATTCCTTCGAGTACGATTTATGATCGTATGTGTCTACTGCAAGATACTTCGTGGCCCCTCCAGACGGTTCCCAGTAAGCTTCGGCCCAACCCGCCGGACGCCTGTGAAGGCAAAGGACAGGGCCACAAACCAGCACGACTCTTCGCCAAGATGGTCAAGAAGTTCCCAGACGGTCTCCGATGGCCTCCAAAATTGTCGAAATGTCTCCAAGACAGGCCAAGTGGCCTCGAAAACGGCCCAAGATAGCCGCAGGCGCAGGACGGCCCTAAGATGGCCCCAGACCCAGAGATGGCCCGAGGGAGCCTCAGGGAGGCTCCCCGAGAACCAACGGGTCCGAGACGAGGCAAAAGATAGCCCCAAGACGGCCTCAGAGGGCGGGTTCCCCAACGGCGGAAGGAATATATATATATATATATATATATATATATTAAAAAAATGCAGTCTAATAGCGTGGACGCACTTTCGTCGACGTTTCACGATACAGGCGAACGCAGGGGCAAGCGGTGACTCGCCGTAGGCGTCGTCGACATCTTGCTAACATACTGGAGTCTTGGCACCCGCCACTGGAAAAAAGCAAGCCAGAAATGGGCGTCTTTGTCAAGAACTCTCACCACAGACCGACGTTGCAACTCCCGGCCGCTGAATGCCATAACCACCCCGTTATTTGTCAACATCCAAATAAACTCGAACTTGTCGTTTGGTGCCGAGGTCACGGCTACCGCATCACCTCTAAATAGGTTACAAGGGAAATAGCTCTCCGACACCAGCAGCGTGGACGGATCTATGGTAAATGCTCGGTTGACGTTGGCTTCACCAAACACGAGCACACTGTTCGTCTCCCTGCTGGAGATCACGCACTGCGCCTTCCTTTGAGGAACCAGAAAGGGCATCAACGTTCATGTTGTTCACACCGTCCTTAAGGACCACTTCTCAGCACCAATCTCAAGCACCCAGAAAAGTATGGAAACAGTGCATGCCCGACACGCCAGCGCAGTGTCGAACCAGGACCGCCTCCCAGGGCACGGCACGTGAAAACCCTGCCGCTTCGGTACTTCCCTGGTGCTCGAAGCTCTCTCGGGCGGTCGAGGCCAAGCCATGCTGGCCTCGGAGGTCCGCGCGGGTCTCTCGGCTCGGCGCTGGAACGCCCTGCCCTCCCTGGCGCGGGAGCGCGCCAGGGGCGGGCGCCGGGGGGGGCCCAGAACATCCGCGCGGAGCTCGGAGAGCTCGTGTCTGGGCCACTGTCTCTTCTCCGATCTGGGACGCGCAGGGGCCGAGGCCACGCTGGTGGCGATGCTGGTCCAAGGCGACGTCGGGATCCGCGTCGGCGCGAGGCCGAGCTCGTGCGGAACGGAGTGCAGGAGCTCGCGAACCGCACTCTCCTGCATGTCACACGCGCGAAGGTATCGGGCGGAAACGGCACGGAGAATTGTAGGAAAGCGCGAGCCACGCTCTCCTACTAACCCCGCCAGCAATGCCGAGCCCACATCGCCGTGACTTACATCGCCGTCAGCGTGTCTACGGCGCTGCCCCTTCTTCGATATGGGACGCACAAGGACGTACCAGTGCTGTGCATCCTCCTTGGAGGCGTGCGCCCCCCCCCGAACATCTAGTACAACCCATATTGTAGTATATCGTTTCCCGAGCAGTACGGCCAGAAAGCGCCCGCCATGGAACTTCCACTATGAGGCTTCTCGGCGCGCGCGCGTCGCCCCTTTAGGGGCGACGCACACATAGTCTCGATATGTTTGGGTGGCGCCGATCAGTTCCTCGTCGAGGCTGCGCTCGCCGCGGACGCGGCCGAGTCGAAGATCTCCACCTCTCGCCGCATGCCCTCGTCCAGGCAGCCGCTGGGGCAGACGCGCCAGAGCCGCAGCCTGCCGTCCCAGCCCACGCTGAAGAGCAGCTCGAGCCTGGGGCAGTAGTCCAGGCCACAGACGCGGGCCCCGACCAGACCCTCGCAGTGCGCGTCCTCCTGGCTGTACCTGAGACGGAGCCAGGGCGAGGCTAAAATCGGGCGAGGAAACATCGAGAATCTCTGAGATCCAGCGGCTCTGGAGGATGTCTCGGGCGCCGCGGCCTTCTCGGTGCGTTCCGGAACGCGCTCAGAGCGTCCAGAAGCGCTCTGGGACGGAGCTGTCCTCCTCGTCCTGGCCCCGTCCGAGCACCGCAGGTCGAAGCAGCCGCCGTGCAGGTACCAGACCCGGATGGCCTTGTCCAGGCCGCCGCTGAAGAGCAGGTGCCTCGAGTGGTCGAAGGCCAGGCACGACACCTTGTCGGCCCCGTGTGCGCCCTCCCGCCTGCAGGCCTGCGCCATGACCTCCTTGCCTCCCGCGACGCCCCCCACGCGCCACGCGATCAGCGTCCCGTCGCTGCCGCCGGTGACCAGCACCTTCTCGAAGGAGTCGTAGCTCATGCACTCGACGGTGCCGTACTCGAACTCGGCGGTGTGCAGGGGCTCCAGGGTGCCGTCTGGCCTCAGGCGCCACGAGCGGAGTCTCGCGTCGGTCATCCTGCCGGCGCTGAAGAGCCGCCGCTCCTCGCCGTCGTAGGCCAGGCAGCCGACGCCCTGCCGATCGTGCGCGCCCTCCTCCGCGAACGTGGGCACCAGCGGCCCGAGGCGCGTGACCTGCAGCCCGCGCAGGGCGCCGTCGCTGCCGCCCACCAGCAGGGTCTTGCACTCCGGCGCGTACGCGAGGCACGTCGCGGTGTAGGTGCCGCCGGCGGGCTCGCTTGCCCGGTGGCACTCGAGCAGCTGGCCGCGCTCCCCCACCCGCAGCGCGCGCAAGGCCTTATCCCTGCCGCCCACGAGCACCACGCCCTGGTGCGGGTCGAAGCTGGCGCACACGGCCTGAGCCCCCCGGTCGCTGCCCGCAAGCTCCAGCTCGCCGCCGTCGAGGTCTGCGCGCCACACCTTCATGGTGCCCTCCTTGCCGTTGGAGAAGAGGTACCGGTGGACGGGGTCGTAGTGCAGGCGAATGATGGGCTTACCGTCGTGCGCCGAGAAGGGCTCCCGAAGCGCCCGCAGCTCGTGGTGCAGCTCGCGGCGCTCGGTAGTGCTTCCGCGCATCGACAGTCTCCTCAGCGATTTTCTGAGCTGGCTGGCCCAGCCCTCCCCCACGGCCCCCGCCGTGGGGGTCGTGGACCGCTTTGCGCGCCAAGCCCAGACCCGCATGTCGCCGCCAGTAGTGACGAAGAGGACGCTCCGCGCTTCGTCGTACGACATGCAGGAGACTCTGGCCTGCCTGCTGGCCCCCCCGGCGTCCACCTCCACGAGGTGGTCCGTGCTGCCATCGAGCTGCCAGCGGAGGACGGAGATGCCCCCGTAGTTCCTGCCGACGAAAAGCAGCTTCTCCTTGGAGTCGCACGCCAGGCTGTAGATCATCCTGTCGCCGAAGCGATTGCAAGCCTCCGCCCTGTCGTCCAGGAGCTGCAGCACCC